TTCACTGAGCCCTAAAGGCATTAAAAAAATTTCTTTGAAAGTACATGTTAAGGGTTTTACGGCGTTCAAAACTGCCTAAGGTCATATGAGCGCCAAGGGGTGGGTGTCAACAGAGAAGTCTTTACAGGGAATCAGACTTAGACTGCTCACCTCTCTAGCTTCAACAGCACAAGGTCTGCTTCAACTATCAAGGCACCCCGGAAATAGCAGGCCACAAGAGAGTGACACACATACAAAAGAAATAGACGACAAAGACAATAGTAAGGATCAGGAAAGAAAAAGCAGCAGATCCCTGTTGAAGATCAGGCACAGTCATGAGCGTGATATGAGTCAGCCCATTTACAATTCTACTATGCTTGAACGAGAAATGTCCCCCCATTGGAAATGGCCTAAAGACACTACAGCCAGTGGCACTGCCCCGGGGGTCTAAAGACATTTGATTGGCTGCTTGGTTACTATAGTTCTAAGAGGTGACAACAGTGATTGGATAAGCGAGCAAGCCGCCAAGTTGATCACTCTGTGTTCGTGGCGTGCGGTCATAACGGTTTCAACTGCTTATTTCTTTATTGAGAAACTTTCATTTACTTTGGGACAGAATTGGGGGTGGTGGGCGGGGAGGGGGTAGGGGCTCAAGCCCGTGGGCCTTTCACTACCCACTGCCACTGAACTGTATGCATTTGTGAGTGCTGTAAAACACTTACAAAAAAACCCACAAAAAACAAAACAAAGAAAAACAAACAAACAAAAGACTCCCCATGTGGGGTCTACGTAGTCATGGTGTCTAGGTGGACCCCAAAAATGTTGGATTGTGATTGGCTCGCTGAGCGAGCGGTAGTTTACATTGGTTACAATGCAAGGCTACTGATCATCTCGGGCGGTGTGTCGATCTAGAATCTAGTGTTACCAGGGGTGAAGCGTCTATATAATCAAATAATCAATGCTTCCCTTCCTAATTTTGAAACATTGTCGCTGTCAAATTCATCCTTAAACGTAAACCTCTTAAATTAAAAGTAAAAAGAGGTTCGTAATCCACAATGAGTATGCCTAACATTCAAAACGGTTTCACGGCCACATAAATAGCCTCCTCACCCCTCTCGGGCCACTCCATAAGCAGTCGCAAGCTTTGATTAGTAAGCTTAAGGTGAGGCTGGAAGAGTCTACCAATACAGTTGAGGGAACATGTGCATAGCAGTCATGGCTGTTTCATTGCCACATATACCCTGTTCACCCCTTTGGGGCCACAGTTATAATCAATCCCAAGCCCTGATTAAGTAAGCTAACGAACACTGGTCGAGTCTACCTCACAAATGTGAGGGGAACTAACTCCTAACAATCTCTTTACTGCTGCATGTGCTTGTTTTTTTTTCCTCGACTTTTTACTGTCCTATAATCAGATCGTGACCTCGATTATGACACCAGCTCCTGGCCGCGAAAGGCTAACAAAAACAGCCAAATGTGAAATTTAAAAAATGATAATTGTCATGTTCTACCAAAGAGTTAGACTCTCTGGTAGATCTATAACATATATATCTAGTACTGACATCTCTGCTTCTTTGCTTTGTGTTTATGTATTCACATCTAAAGTTAATTTAATTTTAGTTGGAACTGATATTTAATAAGATACTTTCCCGATTATTTTGGCGGTTGAACATACAATATGAATTCCGGATTTGTTTTCATTTACAACTCAGTCAGAGTCGCCGCCTCAAGTAAGATTCTTGTGCGATATCTACAGGCCATATAGATCTATATCTGGTCCCGTTTCACTTTGATTACCCTGTCAAACAAGTCAGCCTTCGCCCCTGAGTGTTACTATAATTTATTTATTTTAGCCCAGAGAGAGAGAGAGAGAGAGAGAGAGAGAGAGAGAGAGAGAGAGAGAGAGAGTATTTAATGAATAAACGTATCTAGAGCCTAGATCTAGAATCTAGAGTCTAGATCTAGAATCCAGATTCTAGATCTAGAATCCAGATCTAGATTTTGTTGTGCACCCAGCCAAGGGTGTGCAGTTCGGAAAGTAGATGATCTAAATCTAGATCCAGATCTAGTGGTGGCCTGGTGGGCGAATGACCGAAGAGCGACTCTTGACTAGACTAGATGCCCCACAAAAATGAAGGTCTTTTAAGGCCAAGTTCCAGCTACTCGTAGGCCTGGTCAGAAGCTGTGGGAGTGTTTGAAGCTATTCAAGCTTTTTTAATTGAGCTAGAGAAACATAGTAATAATAGTGTGTCGATGGGGGCTTAAGAACACTTTATTTTAAAAAAAAAGAAACTAAACACGAAACAACATTTTAAAACAAAGCTACTGACCCCCCCCCAAAAAAAAAAAAAACCAAAAAAAAAAACAACCCAAAACAAATTAAAACAAAACAACAACAACAAAAAACAAAAACAAACAAAACAACAACAAAAAACAACCCCATACAGTCAGTTGAGTCAGCGCTTGAAAAGTTAAAACTGCCACTGCCAGAGTCCAGTACCGGGTAGCCTAACTGTAGACTAGAATTCTAGATCTAGATTATCTACACAGCGAGCTGTTCCCCAATGTCAGAATCCATCATCATGAACTGAAGTTAAGAAAAAGTGGCACTCCTGTAGGCCATACAATTGAAGTCCCGTTTGCATTAAATCACACGAATCTAGATCTAGGCCTAGATCAGATCTAGATCTAAGTGCCCCTGTAGTAGCCTACATTAATTCTTACGTGTTTCGTATTTAGATCTAAACTGAATTAAGATCTAGATATAGATTATGCTGTCTATCTAAAATCTTAAATCTAGAGATCTAGAGATCCAGATGATCTAGATCTAGATCTAGAATAGGCCTAGATTATATCTAGATCTAGAAATCTAGATTCACTCACACAATGGCCGTCATGGCCTAAACAAACGGGACTGCAATTGTACAGGAGTGCCGAAACCGTGCACCGAAAAAGAAGCGCTTTGAAACTAGTAGACTCCAGGCCTACAGAAGCAAGTAGGCCTACTGTTGATAATTATGATAGTAGACCTGTGAATCAAGTTGCATGATAGGCCTAGTGACCTAGTGTGTCTCCGCCAATTCACAGGCCAGTCAAGAGTCGCTTTTCGGTCATTCGCCCACCAGGCCACCACTAGATCTAGATCTATATCTAGATCTAGATTTAGTTCATCTACTTTCCGAATTGCACACTCTTGGTTGGGTGCACAACAAAATCTAGATCTAGATTCTAGATCTAGACACGTTTATTCAATAAATACTCTCTCTCTGGGTTAAAATAAATAAATGACAGTAACACTAAATCGACACATCGCCCGAGATGATCAGTAGGCCCCTAGGCCTAGCCTTGCATTGTAACCAATGTAAACTACCGCTCGCTCAGCGAGCCAATCACAATCCAACATTTTTGGGGTCCACCTAAACACCATGACTACGTAGACCCCAAACGGGGAGTATGTAGACACTTCCTATTCATTTAGACACTTTTTGAAGACATTTTAAACTGTAAGGTTTACCCTACGCCGAATGAACGCAGTTTAGTTTTGCTAGATCATAGACTTGTACTAGAATATCCTAGATTGCACACTCTGTCGTACCGAAATCAATACAGAACGCGCCATTAGAGCTAAAATAAAGTGCAAGGGGAAAAGGGCCTACTGTACGCTGTACGCTGTATGCACTGCGTTTTAGCGAGAATGGTATTCTTCTGTGGTCCCTAGTAGTAGAAATAATAGTAGTAGGAGTGGTGGTATTAGTGGTCGTTGTAGTTGTTGTTGAAGAAGGCTAATTAAAATTGTAGCGTAGTAGTAGTAGTTGTAGTAGTAGTAATAATAGTTACGTAGTATATATTAAAAGACAGTAGCAGTAGCAGTAGCAGCAATAGCAAATCCTACGTAAGTGTGCAGATTCTCTTGTTCGTATATTCCTCTCCCTTTTAATGTCCACACATTTTACCAACGTAAGAAATTTGCTTATAACTAAAAGAGCATAGTGAATATGGAGATGCTGTGATCCTCACGGATGGATCAGTCAACAGAGGAGTCAAATCGGGCTGGGCCTTCAGTGTCAGAGTTGATGGGGTAGTAGTGAAAGAGCAAAGTGGAGCATCTGCACTGACAACATCAAGTATGTGTATGGAGATAAAAGCCATAAGTGAAGCTCTACGGATCAAGAACACAAGCTATAAACGAGCAGTAATCATTACTGACTCAATGAGCACACTACAGAAGGTACAGAAAGGGATGCTCTATTTTGTGGACTGGAAGGCTACGGTCAGGGAGAGCAGCCTGAAAAGAGTGGCCTGGATCTTCTGCCCGGGTCACGCAGGGGTAACCGACAACGAGAGAGCAGACAAGCTGGCTGGAGAAGCAAAAGTGGGAGGGAATTTGACACTGGACCCACCAACCGTCCTAACCGCTGTAAGGGAAAATTTGAGGAAGAATAGGGCGGATAGTGGTTCCCACACTCTAGGTGGATTGAAGGAGAAGGGGATCCAAATAGGAGAGGGGAAACACACCCATCTGTGCGGACTAGTCCGACGGATCTCCAACCAGATTATGATGGAGACTATACTATAAGCAGACACATACAGACTTTGGGATGGATCCTGAAGAGGTGGTGGGGGGAGGGGAGAGCAGAGATTGACATGTTCCGACTGCAGTGACCCCAACACAGTGGACAAATAAGTAAGTAAGACTTATGAGGTCAAAAGCTTAGGCATTATTACGATAGTAATTATAATATAATAATTAATGTGTTATTGTGGGAAAATATTGCCCGTAAAATACCCCTTCTGAAAACTATTAAAGTCCACCACACAGGAGGGTCTTTCCCTCTATTTTGACGCAATATTGCCGCCCTTCGACTTCGAGCTGCTACGAAACGTTTAGCTAGTGAGTTAATTAAGTGAGGCACGACCACTGACCTAAAAATAGTATCTTTTTAGGTGTGTGAGCACGACAGTCATGACAGAGTGATATCTAGGATATTATTATAGCACAAATCTATGGCTTACTTCAACTTTATCTAGTTCCGGTGATGTGCCGAGGAAACTAAACGTAAAGGCCAGAAACTCTGTGTTCCCTGCAATTTTTACAGCATTTTTTAACACAGATGGTTGTTTTAAGAACGCTGCAAATCCTAAATTGTTTTAGGACACGTGTATGTGAACAGATTTCTGTAAATTAGTAGATCTAATCTAGATCTAGATCTAGATTCTAGATCTATTTGTGTTTGCTCGGTTCTAATGTTTTACCGATGGAGGAGACAGCGGACTTGTCAGGTATGGCAACAACAACAACAACAACAGAGGCAGAGGGGGTGCGTATCAAACATGAATTCGACTCTCCTCGCTCTAGACCTAGATCTACTGATTCTACTGGGTCTGTTTTGGAACACACAACAGTCGAAGAGACTGCAAATGTCAAAGAGGAAGACTCCTCTAGCTGTGTTGTTGAAGGTGAGCAGTTGTTGAGAAATGATGGAATTGGTCGTCAAGGCCAAGGTTTGGTAATGCAAATGAAACCTGACATTGATGGAAACAACTGTGAGACCGAGATTCTTAGATCTGATGATCGCCAAATTGTGAGCAAACAGGTTTCTGGCTTGAATATATCTATTTCAAAGAAAGATGGCCCGAAGAAAAACTGCACGACTCTTAAGCTCCCAACAATTAGATCTACAGATAACAATATTAATAGTAGTAGGCCTACAATAAGATCCATGTCGAGATCTGAGGAAGCTGACGCTGAAGCTCGAAAGAATGATGATGATAGTTGCAGTAATGGTGACAGCGATCACGTTTGGAAAGAAGAAAATCAAACCCAGGGCAAAGGTGAGCTTCTGAAAATCATTAAAACTGAACCGCTGTCTGATTATGGTGATGAAGTGGAATGTGAAGTCCAAAATTTTGTGAAACAAGAAGTGACAGAATTAGAGAGTCCAAACTTATCAGAGATAGGAAAGACAGAAGGACAAGAAGTTGGAGATGCGGTGGAGATGTGTGTTGAGCAGACATTGAACAGGGATCATGTCGGTCAGCCTGAATCTGAAGGAATACAACTGAAAATTTCTGATGTCAGGAGTTTATGTAATGAGCAGAGTCCAAACCAACTTACTGATCATGTAGTCGGGTCCATCAGTTCAGTTCCAACTTTCTCTGCTGACTCAGCTCTTCAGGAATGCAGCGACAAAAATTCCAACTCTGCGAGCAGGGACAATTGGAATAAATATAAAGGTACGTAGAACAAATTACAAATAAAAAGATTGCAATGTTTTTAATCCTCATAATTTTTTGTTGACAGGGGCATGCGTTCTGTCTAGATCTACTTACTGTCAGTTTTCACTGTAGGCCAACTGATTACCAGTCATTTCGTCACACTGGTGCTGTCAAGATGTCACAGTCATCTCGTCACACCCCAAATCCACATACAATGTTGAATGGAGACAGTCATTTTGTAGCACGCGTGTATTGTCATGGCAATCAAATCATGATTTTATTTTTGGGGGAGAGTTTGTGTAGTATGTGTTTGAATCGGCATTTGAATTCTTTTTTCTCTATTATAACAGGCTTACACTGACCTACTGATGCTACCGGGGTTTTTTTTTACTAAAAAAAAATGTTAAGTATTGTGATTTAGAATGAAATTTTTAGCATGAAAAGTTTTTAAAATGAAGTGGTTCAGGAAGCTGGATGTTGTGGGTATTTTTGGTTGTCATAATTGGGTGTTATACAAGTTTTGAAGTAAGTTAGCTTTTTTAGTCATTATTTAGCAATGCCCACCGAGCGCATTTTGTTCCGATTTTTGGCCCCTGCCGCGGGGGTGTTTCGTGGGACGAACTAACGCATTGGTTGTTGTCTTCAACTTGCTTTCACGCCGCTTCATTGAATGGATATGAATGAAACCTGGCAGCCAATCAGAAAAGAGGTCAATCTCATAGTATGCTGATTGACAAGTTTGTACCCATCCAAGAAGCAGTCAAAAACGTTTGGGAAAGTGGTTGATGTGGTGCGCTTTGAAGATTTTTCGGAGCTGTGATTTGTCAAACTGACTGATAATTTGTACACCATTTTTCTCCATTTATTCCCTTCTTTGCCTAGTTTCAGTGGTAAAATAGCGAGAAAATGACTGCCAAAATTTAGTACAGTAACTCCAATAGAGCTTCTCTTTCAAAATTGAAAATTTACAAATTTTGTGCCTGTAGTCAACATTTTTCAGTCAAATTATTAAAATTCACATAGATCTAAATAGAAATATGTTTTTATTGAGCCCAACACATAAAAATTGTCAAAATGCAGAAAAATATGTTTCTTCGATTTCATTATTTTGAAGAGCACGCCTGATTTCACCTTGATGCCTCACACATATCCTTTAGCTTTTATAAATTCTATTGGCCCATTATAAATTATGACCTAAAATAATATACATAGATATTAATAATATATATAATTTAATATAAACATTAAACATATTACAAAGTTTGAAAAAATCAAAATTTTTTTAGAAAGAATGTATGGGAATGTGAAATCCGCCTGAAAGAAAATAATAAGGCCCCAAATTCTTCGCCTTTTGAATAATCTTTCCGACATAATGAAAACATGGCTTAGTCAAAGAAAATTCGTCCGTCCTGCAGATTTTAGTTTAAACAGGCTCTGGACAGTGTTGCATGGCATCAGTTTGGTTTACATGAAGACTATTAGGGAACAAGTGACTGTAATCACAAACTGGAAATTTATGCGGGTGCCAATTTTAAAAGCTTGTGGACTCATAACTTCATATTTGTTTTAGACTGGTGGTTTATTGTAAGTGTTGTTGAATGGAAAATCTAACAACAATAATCAACCAACAGTTTTGAAAATAAGTACACAAGCATTAAAAATTGGTACCCTCACGATTTTCAGTTTGTGACTACAATCGTTTTTCCCATGTAGTCTATATAATGGGTTTACTGTGAGGCACTAATCTATTTTTGGAGAATAGAGAGTGCTATACATATTCAATACTAAAAAAGGAGGTCTGAAACGAACAATGATCCATAATAAAATATGCTCAGTGATTGTACTATTTAATGTTAGTCTATGTGATAGAGCACTATACATTTATGCTATACCAATGCAATTTAAAATTACAGTTTTGAATATTTTAATTATCTGAAGTCTAGCATACACACCTAGCCTATTTATTGGTGATCACTCCAACTCCAACATTGGTATGATTTGATTTACCAAAAATTTTCTAATGGCATTGGCCATGTGAGAAAGTGCTTTGCTATGTTGTCTACTTGAATGACATCAGGACAAAAATAAGAATGTAAGTCATGACGTTCCAGCACTTGCACTACGTAGTCCACTAAAGCAAGTCGTCCGTTGAATCACACGAAGGCAATTTTTATTAATATTCCATCCCAGACCACCCAAAACCATGAGAGTTTCGTCGCCTGTTTTCCTCACTGACAGATGAGTATGTCCAAAGTTAACTAACATACAATCCATGTGCAAAGAAGTTTTCGTGCGCTCCTAGACAAAAACAAAATCATACTTTTATAATGAGCACAAGTTATGTTACGTCCAGATTTTGCACAGTATTTGTATTTCTGCTACTTTGTTTGCTAAATTAATCTCTTTAAAAATATCATCAAAAGATGTTGTTCTCTGCAAAAACAATAATATTCAACTCTCTTTTCGTTTGAATTCAATATGTCAATTCAACCAATGTTGATGCACCTCAATACCCGCGCGAACAAACTTTTATGTTTCTTTGATTTCGCACTATTTTGCCAAGCCTGATTTTTTAATTTCAATTTTGAATTACCATATCTCGAGGGTCTCTTAACATTGATTAAATGTTAATGTGTCAGATGATGCAGAATTTATTTAGCTTAAAATGCTGCATGAGTGGGTAGTGCAAGGCTTCAACGCGATGATTGGATGATTATATTTTCAAGTTTCTTTTTGGGTGGAACTGTACGTATGTTATAACAAAATAACTATAGGGGCCTACATGATGTGGATGACTTCTAAGAAATAATTCTGAACCTGAAAGTCTCTTTGCTCATGTGTGATAGACTGTAATGTAGTGCTAATAGTAAAATTGCAGACAAAATGAAAATTTCATATCTTAAAAACATGGGTTTAGCACATTTTTTCACCAAAAAAATCAACTAAATCTCTATTTATTTCTCTGGAAGGCTGTTTATGAGGGGCAACAGAATTTTTTTATAACAAAATTTAAGAAAGTGCGCTTTTTCATGAAACCATTCAATTTTTTAGCGCTGTTATAATTGATTAAAATTTAATAGTCTACCTGTTTGTTTTTATGCAGCATAATAGGCCTATATATATCATGTTACCCTTTTTTTAAAAGGAAATGATAGATGAGCATATATATACTTTTACTTTACTTTCGCCGCTTGTATCCTTTTGGGTGTCGCGGGGAGAAAAAGTCGTCTCTCTGTCGCCAGCCGGAGAGCTTGGGTCAGGGGATGTCGTGGGTGGTTAATGTTTCCCTGACTCCACCTATGCAGGTCTTTCTTGGTCGCCCTCCAGCCTTATTTGTTGCCATCGAATTTTGGGATGTAGGCACGTTGTGTTGAATGGTGTGTTGGTAATCGTAGGAGATGTCCGAACCATTTGATTCTTTGGTGTTGGATGTGATACATCATAACACCATTTCTCGGATTACTGAGTTTCTAATTTTGTCTCGCCTGGTCTTGTTTACTGCTTTGCTATGTGCACATATATGTATTTTCACAAGACAAGAAACGACATCTTTGGTGTTGTGGTTTAGTGCTTCACCGTCGCACACAGGAGACCAGAGAGCGGGTGGTTGGCGGGTGCTCTGGTGTGGTTTGCTCCTTCTTTCCTATCAAACGTCTATCGTCCTTATCTCCCCTCCTTCTATTTTGTGTTTGTTACTCCCTTTAACACCTCTAATCTTCGGCACTTATATGACCTTATTGAAATGTGTTTTTAAATGGACCATAATGTGTTGAGTAAAAAAACCCAGAAAATCGATAAAAATTGCCAAACTGGTGGAAAAATGCCTATTTCTTTGATTTCATTATTTTGACGAGCTCTTGATTTCACCACAATGTCTCACAAATTATCTAAATTGTGTTTATCAGGACATTAAAAACATCACCATGATTGAAATCAAACAAACAAACAAAATAAAACAAACCAAAAAACACAATAAAGCAGACATGAAGAGGTGAAAATAATTGATGTGTGTCTTTTTTCTTTTTCTAGGTAATGTGTACAGTGCACTGACCAGGAGTCTTCAAGCAACGCGAAAGGAAAGTGAACAGACAAGATCGTCTAGTCACAGTACCTGTCTATCAAGTCGTGCTTCGAAGACAAAACAACGGAAAGTCGTCAAAGAAACCATCACTTCTGGAGATGGCCACGCAGCTGCTGCTGCTGCTGCTGCTGATGCTGCTGCTGCTGTGAAATCATGTGACCTCCGACCCAGCGTGGCAGAAAATAAGCAATTCATTTTGAGCAAAAGTTTGATTAATATTTGTGGTTTGTACTTGAAACATTCTTCAGCGGTTGAGGCGACGGCGGCTCCGAGTAATGGTGACTTGGAAGAAGATGTGGGTCAAACGGAGACCTCGCAGGTTGTAACGGATGATTATTCTGTTATGAAAGATATCTATGCCGTAGGGAATAGAGGGAATGAGCAACCCAGCAACCCTGGGTGTTCTGGTTTGGACCATTCTGCGCCCGTCGTAAAGGAAAAACCTTTCCGGTGTGATATTTGTGGTAAGTGTTTCGCGTCTAAGGGCAACTTGAAAGGTCATGAGAAAACGCACTCTGGGGAAAAGCCTTACAGTTGTGATGTTTGCGGTGCCTTGTTCACGCGAAGTCATGGCCTCCTGCGTCACAAAATAACGCACACGGGTGAAAAGCCTTTCCAGTGTGATGTTTGCGAAGTGCGTTTTACTTACCGCCATAATTTAGAATACCACCGAAGAACGCACCTGAAAGAAAAGCCTTATAAATGCGAGAGGTGCGATGAGACTTTCACGACCCGCGGCAACTTGAAGAGACATCAGAAAACTCACACGGGGGAAAAACCCTACCAGTGCGACCTTTGTGACTTCAGGTCGGCGCGAAATTCCGACCTTTTGAGTCACAAAAAAACACATTTGACAGAAAAACCACATGAGTGCGATATTTGCGGTGCATGTTTCGCGACGGTTGTAGATCTGCAGAGGCATCACAGAGGACATTTCGGAGAAAAACCTTACAAATGTGAGGATTGTGATTTCAGCTGTTGGAAAAATAAAGATCTTGTGCAGCACAGAAGAAAGCACACAGGAGAAAAACCTTACAAATGCGAAGTGTGTGATGCTACGTTTGCTCGAAGAGCGTATCTTCGGAGTCACAAACGGAGGCACACGGGCGAAAAGCCCTTCATCTGTGAAGTTTGTGACGCGAGGTTTGCACACCAGAACACCTTGCTAAATCACAGAAGGTTACACTTGGGAGAAAGACCTTTTAAATGTGATGTTTGTGGCGAAGGATTCACTAACAAAAGCACAATGCACAGTCACAGAAAAACTCACAGCTTAGAAAGACCTTTTGCGTGTGACATTTGTGGTGTAGGGTATAAGTGGAAGAACACTCTAAAACTTCACAAACGGAAGCACTCAAACGAAAAACCAGAGGTGTAAAGTTTGTGGTAAGTGATTTGTGAAACAGCTAGTAAGTTTGTTGGTCTTTGAGCCTGGGCAATCTGCAGCTTGCACTGTATGCTTCCCTGGAAGTTGAGAATGTTTCTGTGTCTTCTAGGGTCTACGAGGGTAATAATGGTTGTAAAAAAAGGGCATAGAGCATGCTGTAGGGCATGGATATATTTGTGATGCAGCGTGGTGAAATCAGGTGCGTGTCAAAGTAATCAAAGTGAAGAAACGGGAATTTTACCACCGGTTTGTGAATTTTTATCGAATTTTCATTTTTTGGTTCAACACCTTTCATGTCCATTAGAACACCTTTCTGTTGTAATTTTACTGCAAAACGTTGATTACAGGCACAAGACAAAACATGTCCAGTTTTCGTGGATTCTCAAGCTAAAGAAAAAACTCAACTTTGGCGGCCATTTTCTCACTATTTTTACCTCTGAAACCTGGTGACCCCCACCTCCTTAATTTGCAAATATATATATGTAACTCGACTTCTATTCTAGGTAAGCGGATATTGTTTTCATCCAAAGCGAAACAAACTAACAAGCTTTAAGATTAATAACCCTACATGTCCAAAAGTTGACGAGAGCCTGACTTCACCACGTCGTAACACATATATGTGCTATGGGTCGTTCTCTCCCAACTGTGTATATTTCATTATAACATTGTATCCAAAATTTAGAATTTCTGCAAAAAGCTCTTATTAAATGTTTTCTTGTTAGCTCAAACATTCAATTTTTGTTTCCCAAAGTCCCGGAGCTGTTGCATTTCTAGATTTTGATTTTGAGAAAACAGCTTTCGAACACTGATGCCCTATTGTTGCAATCATTACGCAGACGACACTAAACATCAAACTTTACAAAAACTACTGAACAAAACTGATTATAAATTTTTAAAAAGCACCATTTTATTTTATGAACAAATGCACACCAGAAAAGAGAGGCACATGAAAATTATTTGTTCTATCTTTTTGAGGGAAAGTTTCCAGGAATGAATGCAAGATTGTGAGCATGGCTGATCAACCCTGGGAGGTCATAAATGTTGATGGTTTTGCCTAGATTGGTGCGTATTCAGTTGTTACAAGCTTTGTTGAAAAACTGTTTGAATAGCCCATAAACTGTTTTGTCTACAGGGATGGAGCTTATGACTGGTGTGTGGAGGAATGGCCCGAAAAACATGCCTTTTTCTTTTGCCTTGTCAGTGGCAACAGTTGAAATATAATGGGACTCACGATTGTCCATGACTATGAGAACTTTTCTGTCAACACTGCACCATGTCTGAGCTATGAAATGGTCCAGGAAAATAAGAAATTCTTCTCATTGATCCATCCTCCACTCAGTCGCGCCGTTCCAATTGAGTCGTTGAGTGCCCCTATTAATACTATTATAAGATAATCTCTGTAGTTCACACGTGGGAAAATGGACATGGGTGGGACAGCCGTGCCAGTTGCATTGATTGCATCAAGCAGTGTTACCAGTTCACCGCGTTCTCCTGGGGCCACAGAAGCTATTTGCTTCACACCTCTTGGAGAGACAATCTTGCTGAGGTTTTGAACAGTCCGTATCCCTGTCTCGTCAAGATTGTAAATGTCTTTTGCTTCGAATTTGAAGCGGTCCATGACAAGACTGAGGTTTTGGAAAAATTGTTGAACGTTATGTCTGTTTAAGAGAGCGGCCCTTGATAGTGATGTTGCTTCTGCCGAATGAATTGATAGTTTGTGTCTTTCTTTGAAGTTCAACCAAAACGTCTGCCCAGCTTTCCTGTCTATCTCCCATGACAGGGGCACCTTTACTTGACACCATTTGCATTTGCAAAAATGTATACGAGGGAGAGCACATTTTCCTTGCTGAGGCCGTGGAGTCTCTTTTCCATTTCTGTAATGTGCAAAGCTAATTCTTTGTCCATTGCTGGGCTAAACGCCATTGCTGATGATTTGCTCAAAGTCATTATGTCCACTTTGAACTTTGCAGGTGATTGTTTGTTGATCTTTCAAAGTATTCGCTTTATGCAAGTGCGGGCCCTTCTCTTGATCAGCTAAATGCAACAATCGTATTGCCTTCATTAACATACAGTCCGAATTCTTTAATTCTCTCTTGAAATTGTTGCTGGAATGAAGCATGATTCTATCTGTCCGTTTCCCTGAATTGTCCCATTTCGTCACTCTCTGTGTTTCTGTCTTCACTGAGAGATTTTTTTAGTGGGACGTGTGTTGGTGGAAATGGTGTCGGAACACAAACAAGAAGTTGGTACATTTGGAAAAATGGACGGAGGGACCATAGGAACCATCCATCTTCCACGACGTTCCATATATGGGTATAAAGCGGCCAATGATGAAAGCATACACCCATGTTTTCCGTAACTTGTTCAATTGAAAGTCTGCTGGTAAACTGTGTAACCACACAGGTCTGTCATTTTGATTTTTGGGAAATCCATACGCTGGAATCGTTTCTGCATTAACCTTTGCCTGACTGTAATATCCAGTCTTACATCCAAACACAGCACATTTTCTTCCCAAAGTGAATAAAAATTTATAGTAATGATCTCTCAAATGGTCTCTGTCCTCTTTTTAATCCACGACAGAAATTCTGCACAAAGCAAAGTGAAATCTGGCTAACACAGTTTTAGACGTAGCCTACAGAAATTTCCAGGCCTGTTTTTCTATTGTTCACAATAGATTAGTCTATAAGTAAGCATGTAAGGTTTAATTCTCGTCAGTTCACAAAAAGTTTAGGGAAATTGGTCAGAAGATTTGCTGAAATGAGAAAATCCTAGCTCCAACAAGGGTCAGCCATAAGGAACCCATGTTGATGGTATACAATGGTTCATAAAGAAATAACAAGAGAAGATAGATCTCCAATTATTCTAGAACACCTGTTGAACATGGGTTACTTCATGAGAACATCATTTTACTTATTGCTTATGCCTTAAGTTATAAATACCTCACTGTAAGCACTTAAATCTAATCTCACAACTCTACAACATCATCACTGCAAATACAAAGATAAAGGGCGCAAAGCTGCTCGACCTTTTCAAAAACGCCGTCATGGAACTGATCTCAGTATCAGTATCGGTAGTTGGAATTTCTATTCCCTTGTTCTCCTCCTGACTTCTGTCCTCTAAAGATAGTTCTTGGAGGCCCTGTAAAGAAAATGAGAACCATGTTTAGATTGAGAAAATGTCCTAACACAATAAAAGAAGTTACAGTTACAGCATCATTTTCCATGTGGTTGACTAATTTTAAGGCCTAATGGACTTGTCACAAAAAGAGAAGCCCACCCGGCATACACTGATACCACAATTAATTCAAAAAACAAAAAGTCAGTCGGCCTTTCTTTATAAGTCGTTGCTCTCAGTTCTTAATTAAGTTGTCAGTGTCAAAAGTTGTTGAATGTTGAAAGCGTTTGCAACAGAACAGGTGTGCAGGCTGACCTACTTAAGTGTTTCCAGGAACCCTAGTGTTGAAGTAGATATGACATCCAAACTTTGAGACTTATCTTGATCTTCACACCTCTTTCGCTGAAGGAAAAATGATGTAGGGTTCACGAAAAACATGTCTTAACGTTTACAACCATAAAACCATTCATTCATTCCAGACCCTCTCTCTCACAAAGTCCAGAACCCTGTACTTGTTGTACAATGTCTATTCAGAATTCATCAATACTTTCAATATAATATTCTTGATTTAAGGAATGACAAAGTATTCTGTCAATTGCACACATACTGATCTATAGGGCTACTTTTAAATTGTTGTTCTAGAACACATTATCACACAACTAAATGATCTAACTGATCTAGTCAAACAAAACCTATGTTTCAAAGAAGTTTTTCTACTGCGTAGGCCAAAACATAAAGCAAGAACATTGATTGCCTTGCATACATCTCGGAATATGTAGGTTTGTATCTCACCTTTGAGTTGAAGGACTTACTTGTTTGTCATGTAATGATCACTCCATCCATCCACATACTTCTGGTTTCTGCACGGCTCTTCGCTACAGAAGCAAGTGGTGTTGCGATACTGTAGGACTCCTCCACTCTTGACCCGTATTGAATGGACTGCCCTTGTTCCTTTTAAGTCAGTCAAATTAAGTCCTGATTTTTATCACAATTAGATTACTGTAATGCTACTTTGACTTGTTTGGCGACCGAAAAACTACCAAAGTTACAAGTTTTCCTAAATCAAGCAGCAAAATTGATAAAATGGAACAAAACTAATCAGCTCACGTAACACCAATTCTGAAAGAACTACACTGGCTGCCAGTAAAAGAAACGATCAAATACACAACTGCCGTCTTCTGTTTTAAATGTGTAAATGATACTGCATCCATTTATCTGAAAAAATTCCTGGAATTATATCATCCACCCAGAGCCTTTAGATCAGACACTGACAATCTAATTCTTAGAACCCCAAGACAAAATTACAAAACATACAAATTCTTTTATCCCTACGTATGGACAGAACTCCCATAGATAGAATAAGGGCACTTATTATTCAGATTTTCCAAACACAGTTGAAGCATTTTTTATTCACAGTTGGATACCTGTCGAAATGATGAACTGTTATTCATGCATGTGTATGGCCGACCGTGAGACTGGAAATAATAGCTGTGAGATAGATGGAGAGAGAGAGAGAGAGAGAGAGAGAGAGAGAGAGAGAGAGAGAGAGAGAGAGGGAGAGAGAGAGAGAGAGGGAGAGAGAAGGTGTGGGAGGGGGAAGGGGAAACAGAAAGAACGGAAGTGTTTTTTTATTTATAGAGAATGAATGTTTTTATTGAATGTTGCTAGCTATTCAAGTTTCGTGAGTTTTTATTGCATTTTATATTTTAACGAATGCATTGCATTGCTCACTGTGTGACTATTTTTTTCATAAATGTTCATACATACACAACTATATGCATAATAAAATGTTCAACGTAGACACATGCCCATTCATTTTAAAGGTGTGCTATTTTTATTAATGTGCTTTGAGCATTTCTTTTTTTTTTTAGAAAATGGAAATGCGCATCATAAATGCTATATTATTGATATAAAATGGCTACACAACAGACACCGATGACAACTCTTTGTCCTTACAAGATGTTACGTGAGGAACGCCAGACATGACGTGGTGTGTCAGACATGACGT